AATAATAATAATAATAATAATAATAATAATAATAATAATAATAATAATAAGCTCAGAACATGATATTTAAACAAGCCCATGGAACAGTAACATAGGATTCTCCAATTGTCTCAAAATTAAATGCACATCCATGTGACAAAATTTAATTATATATGCATATATAATTATATATATATATAATATATATATATATAATATATATATATGTATGTATTTGTGTGTATGAGTGACTTTTGATAATTGGTTGTCCTTGTCTGGAATCTTGGCAAAATGTCACGTTGGTGCACAATTTGGTTAACCACAATATTTTAAAATAGTAATATGAAAAAAAAACATTTTTAAGCAATTTATAGTACACGAAATTTATATATATATCACAACCTCTAAATTGGAAAGTGCTAAAAATAGGCAAAATTTTAAATTCGTCCTATAATTTTGCCACGGTCCAAAATCTCACCCCGTCATTTACTACTGCCAAATTATATGACCAATTTTAAAATTTTACCGCTAAAAATGTATGACAAACGAACTGTGAGTCTACGTTCATTATCCATCTTATACAAAAATCCTATAATTTTAAAAGTTCTGATCAATAATTACATAAGTAATATTATATATTTTTCATTTTTATTAATATAATGACCTTGTTTGAGTTATCATTTAATTTATTTTTAGTTTCACTTTCTTCTACCTATCTATTTCATTTGTGTTTCCTTGCCTAACTATATGAGGTTAATAGATTAATTATGAAATGGGACTATATGAGGCCTTTATTTAACTCAAAACAAGGTCATATTAATAACAAATATTAGTAAAGACACCATCAAAGAGCAAATCAATTGGCATCTTAAACCTTTTATTGGGAGCTTCTACGGTCCCGTTACAGACCATTCCGTCGGGATTTATAACCGTTAAATCATCATGTAACCGTCGTGGATAGATGATCTAACGGTTACAAATCCCGACGGAATGGTTCCGTAGCGGAACCGTAGCATTTCCCCCTTTTATTAGTGTTATTCTTATGCAATCATAGATTGTTGTGTAGCTTTTGGTGTTGCTCTATCACGTTAAAATATTCTTCGTACACAAAATTTAAAAAGGAAATGAAAATATTTTTTTTTAAAAAAAATAAAAAACCAAAAGGGAAAAAGTAAAAAGGATTCACATGATGATATATTTTCAAGACAGCGAATGTGATTAGCCAACTAATACTCTTGCCTAATTAATGTTAAATTAATTAATTTAAATTAAATCATAATTAATAAATCGTAGTGTGTGTACTCTGTACTGTATATATATATGCATGCACGTATCTGTAGAATGATTTGAACCTCAATTCAATTCCTATTGTCCCTTTGTCAGATAAAGTCGTCTTAATTAAATTCAAATATGGTTATAAGTAACTAAAATATTTCATGCAATATAATTGTGCCGCAATTTAAATGGTTAATTAATGTCATATATAACATAATCATATATTTTTATTTTAGTATAATAATGAGTCCATCCAACTAATAGTTATCTCGCCTCACAAAAAAAAATAAAAATAATAAAATATATATATTTATATAATAAATATATTTAGTTCAGTTTTGCTTTTACCAGACAAATGTAGTGCCTTTGCGGTAGGTACTTCTATTCAGAATTGATAATGACACGAGATTTTATCCCCTGATTTTCGGAAGTGCGTGTGACTGAGTTTTTT